TAGACTAAAAAAAAAAAAAAGCCCGTCAAAAAAGGGGAAACATATATATTTTGAATTTTTATTTTTTTCAGGGATTATATTAACAAAGATAAATTAATACAATAAAATACGATAAATGTAAATGTACGCCACTATATTTTCGATTAAATGTCCGTCGGCCAAGTGTCAGAGTATCAAATTTTTGGTTTAGAGTATTTGTAAATCATTTTCTCTTTTCTTAATAGTAAATCTGGGCGGTTCGATAAGGTCGAATTGGCAGCTTATTTAAAAAAAAAAAAAAATGAGCTACAGTCCTTTGGTTTGCTATTTTTGTTATCTAAAATGGTAAATTTGCTGTATTAAGGAATGACCTGAATAAATTCTAATCTAATGCCCCCAAAACAAAAATGTTCTCTTAATCATCTAAGAACCCTTTCTGCCTTCCATCATTATGGTTGATGCTAACCTCCAGGAGAACGATTCATGGCGTCTTCACGAACTAACGTTTTCCGGTGATATGAAGTGGAAAGATTATATTGAATCAATCGCTCGGCCTTCGGCTAGGAAAGTTGGTTCACTGTGTTGGTCTACATTACAGATTTATAAGTCTACCATGAATATTTCTGCTACATTTGGTCTGGTGCTCCTCCTATTCATTTAGAGATTCTAGATAAAACACAATGAAGAATATGCAATTTTATTGGTCCTGACCTGGCATCTCGGCTTCAGTCACTTTCCCACCACCATAACATTGATTCCCTGTGCCCTTTCTATAAATACTTTCATGGTAATCGTTCGGATGAACTTTCCTAGACTTTATGAATTTAAGCGTAGTATTATATTGGCGGCAAGGTTTCATCATTTTACATTTGAAGAGGATAGATGCAACCGTAAGTTCTATGCTAACAGTTTCTTCTCTCGCACATCTTGCTTGCGCAAATCTCTTCCGACTTCTTCTTTTGCAGTCAATCTTCAAATATTTAAATGCAATGTCAATCGTTATCGTCTGTCTTCTTAATTTCTGATCTTTTATAGTTCTCTCTCCTTTTCCTATATTCTCTTACACATAGTACCTTAGTGGCTTTATTGCCTTGCTTGGGGGGGGAAATGATTAAACGCAATTCACTCCAAGCAAGGCAATAAAGCCACTAGGATGCTAGGAGAGTGAAAGAAACTAGGAGGACAATAAAAGAAGAGATTTCAAAGAGACAAGAGATGATGATCGGCATTGCATTTAATTTAACAAAAACCTAGTTGACAGGCAAGTCGGAAGTGAGCTCCACAAGAAAAACATGCGAGAGAAAAAGAAACATTTGACACACAACTTATCAATGGCGACAGCTAGCATTTGTAAATTGACAATTAGTCAACTCAAAATTGAAATAAACAGTTACCAAAGATTCCGTTTAGGTTAAGATGTCTTAACGAGTGAAGTATGGCGGCACAATCGGAAATTCCAGTAATAAAACTTTTTTTCATTCACCGTGTTTATCGTATTCGAAAAGTAACTTTTATCGTACGTCACACGGAAGTGTTAGTACAGCTAGATAACCACGACATATTTGTGAAGGATATTAGAATAATCCCAAACCTACTCTGTTGGGCAAATTAAATGAAACAACCGCTTTAGTTTCCTTTCATTCACCAGACAGTTTTAGACTCACTGGAGTGACGGTGTAATCGATTTCTATTTTTTCCTCAGATTAGGTCATTTGCAGTGGTCTGCAGTAATATGAATCTATTTTCGTGGTGTATGATGAAAATTGTTCGACCTTGGAAAATATTGCATCAAATTTTCATCACACCCAAACACTATTCTTTCGACTGTCGATTAGTTATCCTACGGCTATTCTCAAAGAAGCGTACGAAAATTGCAACGCTGTACGAACACAATGGCAAGTCTTACTAGTGAGCAAATCAAAGTAATATAGACTGGCCCGGAAACTCTGCTGATTTAATCCACTCGAGAATCCGTGGTCAATTTTCAAGGAACGACTTCGTGGAATGGACATACTGACGTACTGACATGTGCACTGGGTCAGATTTAATTGGGAGAAATATGAAGAAAAATTTAAATAATAACGAAATTATTTGTTTTGTTTTAGTTAATTCGCACAAGGGTGTATACTGACAGGAAACCGCTTGCATATGGACAGAAAATGAATGCTGTAAATATACACAAATAGAAAGGGGTGTGAGAGAAGGCTGTCGGACATATTCAACCAAAATAGATTGAGGCGAGTTTGAAAGTAGTAGTCGTCCTGCCAGGATTCATTATTGATGGCCACAATCTTAACAGCGTAATATACAGATGACAGTGTGTTGATAGCAGACACAGAAAGAATACTACAAGAACTGCTACGTAAGGTAGTGAAGTAAATCGAGAAGAAAGACCTAAACATCAATTGCAAGAAGAGAGAATTCATAGTGGTTAGCAAAAGGGACTACCTAACATGCAAATTACAAATTGGGGATATCAAGACAAAACAAGTGCAACCATTTAAATATCTGGGAAAGGTGC